GGGGGGGGGGGGCTGTTCTTCTGAATAAATGAAAACTATGTACCACAGTTGTTTACACTGAAATTAAAAATATTTGACCAAAGAAGAACCAGAGCAGGACTACAGAGAGAAATAAATATGAATTACATTTTTATTTCTCGGACTTTACAATGCACTGGAGACACAACATTAACAGCAGTCATCATTTTATTCCTCGGGTTTAAAGCAGATCCTTTAATTCCACAGCTGACGCTGCAAAAATGACATTTTTTGTGGCTCTCCGAGAGCAGAACTTCAATCTCAGAGCTCATAGAGTTTTTCTTTTTTATTTTGCGATGTCACTTATGAATGGACACTTCCTGGTATGTGGGGCAGGAAACGTTTATCCTTATATGGTGTTTTTGGGGTGGTATTTATGCTAATCTCCTCTCCCCGTGCACAAGCACCTGATACACATTCATCAGTTTACGCAGCTCATTTACACACTTTTCCTGAAGTTAGAAGAGTTTGTTGAATCTGACGTGACATGTTCGTATGAACCCTTTGTACAAACAAAAGTAAGAGAAATTTAGGATAAGAATACGAACATGTTCTTGCATGAGGCCCATTGAATTTGACTTGATGGAATAAAAACAGCTGCACATTCACTGTTCTACAGTAGGGTGCGAAAGTTTGGGCAACCTTGTTAATTTTCCTGATTTTCCTTTATAAATCATTGATTGTTTGGTTAAAAAAATATCATTTAAATATATCATACGTATAGGGGATTAACACAGTGATATTTGAGAAGTGAAATTAAGTTTGAATTTTTTACAGAAAGTGGTAAAACAAAATTAGGGAAGGTGCATAAATTTGGGCACTGTTGTCATTTTATTGATTTCAAAACCTTTAGAACTAATTATTGGTACTCAAATTTGGTTTGATAAGTTCAGTGACCCTTGACCTCCATACACAGGTGACTCCAATTATGAGAAGGGGTTTTAAGGGAGGCATTTGTAAGTTTTTCTCCTCTTTGCATCTTCTCTGAAGAGTCGCAGCATGGGAGTCTCAAAACAACTTTCAAATGATCTGAAAACAAAGATTGTTCACCGTCATGGTTTAGGGGAAGGATACAAAAAGCTATCTCAGAGATTTCATCTTTCAGTCTCCACTGTGAGAAACATTGTGAGAAAATGGAGGACCCCAGGCACAGTTCAAGTGTAGGCTCCAAGTGGCAGACCAAGACAAATCTGGAATAAACAGAAGCRAAGGATGTTGAGAACAGTCAGAGTCAACCCACAGACCAGCACCAAAGACCTACAACATCATCTTGCTGCTGATGGAGTCACTGTGCATCGTTCAACTATTCAGCACACTTTACACAAGGACATGCTGTATGGGAGAGTGATGCAGAGGAAGCCTTTTCTCCTCCCACATCACAAACAGAACTGCTTGAGGTATGCTGAAGCACATTTGGACAAGCCAGCTTCATTTTGGAATAAGGTGCTGTGGACTGATGAAACTAAAATAGTTATTTGGACAGAACAAGGGCCGTTATGCATGGAGGAAAAAGAACATAGCACTCCAAGAAAAACACCTGCTACCTACAGTAACATTTGGTGGTGGTTCCATCATGCTGTGGGACTGTGTGGCCAGTACAGAGACTGGGAATCTTGTTAAAGTTGAGGGACGCATGGATTCCAACCAATATCAGCAGATTCTGGAGACCAGTGTCCAGGAATCAGTGACAAAGCTGAAGCTGCGCCGGGGCTGCGTCTTCCAACAAGACAACCACCCTAAACACTGCTCAAAATCTACCAAGGCCTTTCATGCAGAGGAACAAGTACAACGTTCTGGAATGGCCATCTCAGTCCCCAGACCTGAATATTATTGAAAATCTGTGGTGTCACTTAAAGAGAGCTGTCTGTGGTTGGAAACCATTAAACCTGAATGAACTAGAGATGTTTTGTAAAGAAGAATGGTCTAAAATACCTTCAGCCACAATCCAGACTCTCATTAGAAGCTATAGGAAGAGTCTAGAGGCTTTTATTTCTGTGAAAGGAGGATCTACTAAATATTGAGGTAAGGTTTTTTATGGTGCCCAAATTTATGCACCTATCTAATTTTGTTTAACCAATTATTGCACACTTTCTGTAAATCATATCAATTTTATTTCACTTCTCAATATCACGGTGTTTGTCCCCTATATGATGTTTCACTGATATATTTTATCCAAACAATCAATGATTTATAAAGGTAAATCAGGAAAATTAACAAAGCTGCCCAAACATTCGTACCCCACTGTACATTTCTGTTTTGCTTTCAGATCTCTAAACTACGGAGGAATAGGAGCTATCATTGGTCATGAGCTAACACATGGATATGATGACTGGGGTAAGAATGACAACCTCTCCTGTTATTAATCACTGCCCAAACATTTAATTTTTTTCCTCCATCCACATTAACCAATGGGTTGCTGGTTCGACCCCCATTTAATCCATCTCGGTCGTTGTGTCCTTGGGCAAAACACTTCACTGGTCTTGCCTGCTGGTGGTGGTCAGAGAGTCCTGTGGCGCCGGTGCCTGGCAGCCCCGCCTATGTCAGTGTGCCCTAGGGCAGCTGTGGCTATAATGTAGCTTACCATCATCAGTGTGTGAATGGGTGAATGTCTGTAGTGTAAAGCACTTTGGAATCTGTAAGATCTTGATAAAACACGACACGCGTTCAGGCCATTTACCATTTTTCTCATCAATTTAGACTGTGCCATTAAAAATATATTTTCTAAAATATGATTGTTTATTAAATGTAATATTTTAAACAAATGGAATGCAGATGTTATTTTGAGTCACAAACTGTAACTTTGATTTCCAGTCAAAACTGCTGCCTTGTGAGATTTATCATTGTTTAAGGACATTTCTTCAATCAAATACAGTTTAACGGGAAAATGTTGGATCGATAAGGCAATGCATTACAAGCTTATTTTTTTAATAGTTAAAATTTTCTATACAGTAATTATAGGTAGCAAAACAAAACTGTCTCCTTTACTTAACAAAAAGAGGAGCTAGGATATGCTTGGCAGTTCTTTAGACTGTGAAGGAAAGTTATAGCTTGTGTTGTCTTCATGCTAACATTCACCATTCCCCCTGCCCTTTTGCCCCTCATCTTAGTGATGAAATGGTTCATGTCCCTAGGGGGCCAGTACGACCGCCATGGCAACCTCAAACAGTGGTGGACTGAAGAGTCTTACAGAAAGTTCCAGAGAAAGGCTGAATGCATCGTCAAGCTCTACGATAACTTCACTGTGTATAACCAGAGGGTGGGCTTGCATAAACACAGTTCACATCTTTAGTTAAACACTGAATTTGCATAATAACCTTAGCATTCCCTCTAGACTGATATAAACTTTGTACTCCCTGTAACATAAATTCTGTATCCAGAATAATGTGGCTAATCTGTGTCTTATTATTTTTGCATGGACAACACTAGATTCTACTCTGTGGATTTCTGTGGTTTTTGGTAAACTTTTAGCTATATAATATACACTCACCAGCCACTTCGTGAGGTACACCTTGCTAGTACCAGGTTAGACTCCCTTTTGCCTTCAGAACTGCCTCAATTCTTCGTGGCATAGATTCAACAAGGTACTGGAAGCATTCCCCAGAGAGTCTGGTCCATATTGACATGATGGCATCACACAGTTGCTTCAGATTTGTTGGCTGCACATCCATGATGCAAATCTTCTGTTGCACCATATCCTAAAGATTGAGATCTGGTGAATGTGGAGCCATTCAAGTGCAGTGAACTCATTGTCGTGTTCAAGAAACCAGTCTGAGATGATTCACGCTTTATGACGTGGTGTGTTATCCTGCTGGAAGTACTTATCAGAAGATGGGTACCCTGTGGTCGTAAAGGGATGGACATGGTCAGCAACAATACTCAGGTAGGCTGTGGCATTGATGCAATGCTAATATGGTTCTGATGGACCTAAAGTGTGCCAGGAAAATATCCCCTACACCACTGCACCATCACCAGCAGCCTGAACCGTTGATACAAGGCAGGATGGATCCATGCTTTCATGTTGTTCAATCTTTTATTGTCCAGTTTTGATGAGCCTGTGTGAAATGTAGTTTCAGTTTCCTGTTCTTAGCTGACAGAAGTAATACCTGGTGTGGTCTTCTGCTGCTGAAGCCCATCTGCCTCAAAGTTCGACGTACTGTGCGTTCAGAGATGCTCTTCTGCCTACCTCGGTTGTAACGGGTGGTTATTTGAGTCACTGTTGCCTTTCTATCAGCTCAAACCAGTCTGGCCATTCTCCTCTGACCTCTGGCATCAACAAGACATTTGCGCCCACAGACCTGCCGCTCACTGGATATTTTGGATATATCTCTTTTTCGGACCATTCTCTGTAAACCCTAGAGATGGTTGTGGGTGAAAATCCCAGTAGATCAGCAGTTTCTGAAATACTCAGACCAGCCTGTCATGCACCAACAACCATGCCACATTCAGAGTCGCTTAAATCACATTACTTCATTCTGATGCTCGGTTTGAACTGCAGCAGATCACTTTGGTCATGTCTAAATGCCTAAATACATTGAGTTGCTGCCATGTGATTGGCTGATTCCACATAAAGAGCAGTTGGACAGGTGCACCTAATAAAGTGGCCGGTGAGTATATAATAAAACCTGAATTAGATGATGAAGGCAATATTCTTTTAACTGCTCTGTTTACACTTGAATCTTGCTAAGGTTCAAGTCTAAAGAAATTCTTTATCCTACTGTACTTTAACAGTTATATTTTTAATCTATCCTCCCAGTTTAGAAGTGCATTAGTAACTTGCTGTACATTAGTTTTAATAGATGTGATGTCCTTTAGGGTATTTTAGTGATTTGTTTACTTGGTAAATACAATAAGCTTTAGTTTTTATGGTAAGAGTTTGAAGAGGGGATCAATAAAAGACTTATTCTGTTAAGTAAATATGAAGTTAAAACCAGGGTTATAATAGTTTTGGATTTTTCATTATAGTTTAGTTTTATTTCGTTGTGACTTTTTTCTTTTAATTCAGTTAGTTTTTATTAGTTTTTACAGTGGATTTGCTAGTTTTTATTAGTTACTATTGATTGTTTAATGCTTAGTTTTATTTTAGTTTAGTTTAGTTTTTATTAGTTCTAGTATTGGTTTTTTTTATAGTTTGAAAAAAAATATTTGCCAATGCATCCTCAAGCTTGTGATGTTCCTGTGAGTTAACTAAGCAGCTAAGTTAACCAGCAGCTATTTGGTCGCTAGTTAAAGCAGTCCATTATAGTGACACCTTCCTAAAATAATTGTGTAACTCAATTTTGCAAACAAAGGACTTGGGCGATCATTTTAGGACGATGACATATTTGTCTCCAACCCGGTGCTTCTTGTTTTTCACAGGAGCTACTGAGAGAAGCTAGCGTGTCAAGATAGTCATAGTTAGCCATCTTGTGTGAGCTTGATTCATGCAGTTTTTCCCTTGAGAAATATTCCAACTATTTTATCTCCTGTTTCCACTACAAGACACTTGATTTTATTTTTCTTGCAGTCATATTCAAAGAAATCCCAAAGTGGACTTTGCTGCTTTCTCCCAACTTCTGTTGTCATCATTTAGCAGACGATGCTGAGCAGCAGACTGTAAACAAGTGTTGTTACAGAACATGAGGTGCTGTAAGCTGTCCACAGCTGTGAAACTTCTCAATTAAAAAATTAAAATAAATCCACACAGCTCAAAATAAATTGACAAACACTAAAACTAAGGATATTCTATCTATAATTTCAGCTAGTTTTAGTTTGTTTTGTAAAAAGATTATGCAGTTAAGTTATCGTTTTTTCATTTTATTACAGTTTTTATTTATTTTAGTTAACTAAAATGTTTTTTCACTGTCAGTTTTCATTTTTTTATTACTTTTAGTTAACTATAATAACCCTGTTTAAAACAGTGTACCAGCTCATTTTATCTTAGTTTAGCTTATTTTAGAACAAACTCTGCACAATTTCAGGAATTAACAGTGTCCATGCAAAAAAAATAACCTGACTTGTTAGCCATTGTTAACAAGACATGACTTTGCCATAGTCTGTTGTAAAAATTAAATAATGGAGCTTTAGTGGTCCTTTTCTCAGGCACACATCTTGTCAGTCTTAGCTAAGGTAATTTGGCTCCAGCTAATGCACACATCAGACAGGTTTACCAATAAAAAATACAAAAGAACATGTGTTGTTTCAAAATATCTGCATTTTGAGAATAATCATTATGCAAATAATAGTAATATTTTATAGCATAAGGCTCCTGCCAGACGACAAAGAGAACTTAATCCTGCAACTCTGTTAAAAGCCTTGTGTGGTTCCTAAAACTTTCATCTTCCTGTAGGTGAATGGCCGTCTGACACTGGGTGAAAACATAGCAGACATGGGAGGACTAAAGTTATCATACTATGTAAGTAGAAACTAATAAAGTCATTGTTCAGTTTTTTTATAAAGCTTTGAAAAAACAAAAATGATACTGTATATAACAATATGTGCAGCTCAGTTCAGATAACGAAACTCATATATCACAACTGATTTATTCAAGCCTGCCCACACAGTGCCGGCTATGTAATATTCTAA